TTTTAAAATGTAATATAAATTTATAATATACTTTTTTATTAATCTTAATAAATTATTTATTTATTTTTTATAAAATACAAAGAGAAAAAAAATCGGCCTCGCTTTTATTAAAAATATTATTTATTAATCTTAATGAACGAACAGGACCTTACAGGTGATTTCTTATTAAAAAGTTATAGTATTGTATTTCTTAAACATATTATTTATTACATTAGTTGTGATTAATTAATTTTTAAAAAAAGCTAAAGAATCGTAAATTGATAGTTTAAAAAATTATATTAGCTTTATTTCTTAATTATAAGTAAATACTTCGCCCACCAACTTTATTGACAAGATATGTACGTATAATTAGTTATTATATCCGTACTTTGTCGCGATATATATATAAACATCATTTCATTTTTAAAGAAAATAAAAAAAAGGAACATCAATAATTTAAGAAAATAAAGTTTTTTTTTTTAAATTAAGACTGGGAAAATAAAAATGTTCATAAATGTCAATTTAATAAATAAATGTGTACACACATATATATAATAAATTATGCTAATTATTATTATTATTTGAAATATTAAAAATAAAATACAACTAAATAATTTTTAATAAAAATTTATTTTATTTTATTTCATTTTAAAAAAATTCACTCAATTCGATCAAATGATTTTAAAACAAAAACATTATTTAATTATTGTTATTATTTATTTTTTATGTTAAAATTTAAGACAATGTTAATTATTTTGAATATTTTTTACTTGTACATATTTTTTCAGTAGTTCTGGAGTTAAAAGAAGATCTATTAATAAAAGGAAATAAGTAATTAAAGTAATTAAGTTCTCTTTGTATAGGTAAATTAGTAATTATATATATATATATAATAATAATAATAAAACTATATCAATTATTATAATTATTGAATTATTTAAAATAAAATATAATTAAATATTTTTTAATAAATTTTTTTTTGTTTTATTTCATTTATAACTTTTTTTTCACTCATATTGATCAAATGATTTAGAAACAAAAACATAATTTAATTCTAGTTATTTTTGTTTATGTTAAAATTCAAGATAATGTTTAATAATTTTTTAATATTCTTTTGTTTATACATATTTTTTCAGTAGTTCTGGAGTTCAAAGAAGATCTATTAATAAAAGGTAAATTAATAGTTAAAGTAATTAATCTTGACAAAATTATTATGATTTTTTACTTGTATCTTTTCTCTCTCTCTCTTTTTATAGATAAATATGATAGAACAAAATTTAGGTGTAGTTTCTTAGATATTATTGGTGGTATTTATTGATAAAAAAATACAATTTTGACTCAATAATACTTATAATATTAAATATAATTTTTTTATTAAAACAAAACCCTGATGTTAATTGACAAATAAAACTAACTGCAATTAAAAAAATAACATATAAATTTAGTTCATAAGAATAAAGACAGTAAAGATAGTACATTTTATAAAATTATAGAGTAGTAAATATTTTAAGAATTTAATTTAAATACATTGATAAAGTAAAAATAAAATTACACTATCATCTAATTACGAATTTTTATATTAACAAATTTTTTTATTTTAATTATAATCATTAATATAGAAATCATATCTATAATATATTTGAATTGGTTGATATTGTTAAAAAAAATTCCACTATTAGTGCATCATAATTAATAACCACATACTATTTAATTTTATCATAATATATATATAAAATAATAATTGGCTTGACTGTGTATTTTTTTTTAAATGTAATTAACTTTAAACTATAAAGAATATGAAAACATACATCTCCAAAATAAAACAGTTGTTGTGCGTATCCTAATTATCAATCTCTCTAATAAGTAGGATTATGACTATGGATCCAAATCATATGTCCTCCTTCCTTTTCTTTCAAGACAGAAATAATACATTAACAAAAATAATCATTAAATATGATAAAACATGTTTTTTTTTTCTTATTAGAATAAAAAAGGAAACTAGGATCAGGAAAGATTATTCTATCGTGTGAAAAATGCTAATAACGAGGGAGATAAATAAATTGAGTTATATATATATATATATATATATATATATATATATATATATAATTATTCGAACTCGATTCGTTAAATGTTTAACTTAAAATGTTAGTTAAATAAATAAATGTAAATTTAAAATAAATCGTTAACAGTAAGTATATTATTTAAAGTTAATTCATTTAAATGATAAATCTTTTTTTTTTCATCATGAATATCTATTAATATTTAATTTAATTACTACATTTTTTCTTATATTTGAACTGGACCAATTTCTCTTTTACTTTTTAAAAAATAAGATGTGTGTATATATTTGTTGGGAATTGAATAAATAACCAAGAACAAAATAGGAAGAATAATAACACAATTAATAGCATTATGAATTTAAGTTTTATTTGAAGAGAAAAAGGAAGGGAGGAATAACTGATCATTAATTTTTATTTAAAAGTTAATTAAATATAAAAAATGTTTGAAATTTTTTAAAATCTTTTAAGATCTTTTTATTTTTTTTAAGTTTCTTTATTTTAGATGATTTTTTTTAAAAAATCAGTTGAAAAATTAAAAAAAATATTTATGAAAAAGTTTGATGTTAATTTTTAAAAAATAACAAGAAAATAAAAAAATTATAATATTTAGAGAAAGAATGTTTTTAAAAATTAAAAAAAAATTAGAGAGTGAAAAATATATAAATAAAATATAAAATAGTAGTAATATAATTTACACGTTAAACACTTCATTATCCTTCCTTCATAGTCCAAACAAAAGAGAAAATTTATCTTTCTTTTTTTCCTATGTCATTTGAACTCTTTCCTTCTATCTCCTTCCAAACTCAATAATAAATTCTGAAAAACAAAAGGGATATCTCAAAGTCCTCATGATGGAGAAGAAAAGAGAGAGAGTGTTTGTCTAAGTAATAGACCTAAACAACAAGAATAATCCTAGACCTTTAACCATTGAATAAAAGGCTAACAACTAAGGCCATATCTTGCTAGTGATATTAGAAATAATCGATTAGACAGCAAAAGATACTATCTCAAGCTAGAGAAATGTTGATTCAGTTACTTCTATCTATTACTGTAATATCAAAAAATGAAAAGTTAAATTAGATGAGGGAGATAAACAATTATCTTAAATGAAAAGCTAAATTAGATGAAGGAGGTAAACAATTGTCCTAAATGGTTAAGGCATCAAAAGAGAAAAGAGAACAACTCATTAACTGAGTTTAAGAGAGAAGGGAAAATATACAAAGAGCTAAGAGAGACAAAATGTGCTTCATAAGTTTACATACTCCCGTTCTTTCTATAATAGAAATGCAGTTATGCAAGTTTAAGTAGATGTATGTTAAACTAATTTTTTGATTAATTATATTTGTCTATTTGGTTTAGTGTTTCAAATTAGCTTTCTAAAACTATTTTTTTTATTTATATAAATTTATAATATATAAAAATACTATTTTATGTCCTTATTTATTATACCGTTGCACACATTAGTTCATAATTTTTTTTCATAATTACATTTTTTACTAATATTTTTTATCATTTATTTTAATAAGTTTTAATTTAAAATTTTATTATAAATTATATTTATTAAAAATAAGTTAAAAATAATAATAAATATTTTAATTTTTTTATAAAATATAATGTAATTAATAAAGATTACTAATTTTTTTAAAAATACACTTGTACCGGATAAGCGAACTGATAGGCCCTACGCATAGAAAAAGAAAACCGAATACCCACTCGGCTAGCCTGAATCAGTATCTCTTCAAGATTAAAAGATAAAATAATTTAATTAAGGATAATAATTAAAATATTATTTAATTCATGAAAATGGCCAAAAGTTAAGGTTGACTCAGGCCCATTAGCCCATTACAGTACCTATAAAAAACAGGTAATATAAGTAGGTAGGGCATTGACTTTTCATTATAAACATCATTTATTATTCTGAATCGGATCCTAATTTCAGCATCGAAGTGTCTTTTGCAAGTACCTTTCCACATCCGCAATCGTTAGAAGAGTGTCAAATCAGGAATATTGTCAGAAGAATGTCAAATCAAGAGTTTGAAAACTACTGTTTCTTTAGCAGGAACAGTACTAATTTAATTTAATGTGATTATACACTACCACAAATTAGTTTTAACAACTAGTTTGTTTTTCGTGTAGGTAAAGTCAACTGAAAAGAGAGTATAGGATAATAACTTAATTTTTATTTTTTTTCCTGAGGAATGAACAAACTAGCCAGTGTGATAGTTGTACAAAGAAATAATCGCATATATAAACGACAAATAAGCACTTTGACCAAAGAAAACGATCGACACGTATAAGCTAAAAATTAAACATCAGAAGAACATAAGCAACTCATGCAACGCCACACAACGTTAAGAACATTGTGGCCCTCGAATCTGGGACCATAAACTCCGACACCAGTGGGTCGCCTTTCACACCGAAATCAAAATAACTTAAATTCTTTTATCCTTCAATTTTGTATTCATTTTATCACATTTTTTTCCTGTTTTTCTCTTCTATTTCCAGAACTTACTTATAGACTCAAAAAACGAGAATAATTTATTTTTTCTACAAAACTATAATATCTTTACTAAAACAAATACATTTTTTCCATTGCTTTTTGAATATTGTTTCTGTCATATATTATCTACTTTATTGATATTTCATTTCTCTATCTTATCTTTTTGTATTTCTCAAATACGTGAAATTAATTATACAAGATAATATACATTATAATTTAAAAAATATTAACTTTAATTTTTAAAATTGAGAACAAGTAAAATATAATAATATTATATATTTTTTAATAAAGATTTACTATTTATAAATATTTAAACATAATATGAAAGATGATGTAAACTAAATCTCTATAATTTATCCTTTCCAAAAAATCATGGCATGCAAATCCTGAAAAAGATTCTTTATATCCAACGCCCCGCCACTATATAAATACCATTTCTACTGAATCCTCCAACACTTGGACATGCACATGGCGTTATTCCACACTCTCAAGTTCTTCCTCATCTCCACCGGTCTCTTCTTCACTGCGTTGGGAGTACAAGTCTCCCTTCCGTTAATAACAGAATTCTTTGCCACGCACGTGTCCCTCACATGCAACTTCTTCCTCACGTGCCTCAAACCCCCTTACCTCTGCCTCTTCCTTAACGCCATCATCATCTCCATCTTCGCCTCCTCCAAGTTCCACCGTTCCCCTGCTTACGTGGCAAAGCCGCTCACTCCGACTCTTCCCCTCCAACATGTCCACGTCAAAGTCTTCGTGGCGAACGACGTTACCGTTATGGAAGACAACGTGACGGAATCCACGTGGCAACCGCACGAAACAACGGAGACTCCGCCGTCACCGACGATGGACGACGTTTGGAAGATGATAACCGAGCGTCGAGCAACGGCGCCGTTGAAGAAAACAGAGACGTTGGAGGAAAAGAGGGAGAGTGACCCCACTGTGTTTGGTCTGAAGAAATTAGAGCCCTCACTGAGTGTGGACGAGTTGAATCGGCGCGTCGAAGCGTTTATAAGGAAGTTCAATGAGGAGATGCGGATGCAGAGGCAAGAGTCGCTTACAGATGATTCGATGTGTGCAGATGATGATGATGAACCCCTTCAGTGAATCGTATCTCGTATCTATAGTGGAAAATTATGGAAGGATATTTTGTCCGAAATTATAAAATATCTAAAAAAATTATTTGATATATATCAATACTAGTCAGAGTGTATATAGTATAATAGCATAGGGCTTTGATATATATTATTTCTTTGATTAGGCTTATTGTTACGTAGTTGAAGTAATATATGGAACATGTTTCAAGCAAACACACACAAACTGTGTGATATAGTCAGAGTGTACACCGGAGAAAAGCTTTACCGTCGAGCTTTACTGCTTCAGTGAATGGCTCATGTTCTTTCTCTTTTAGTACTTTACGGGCTGTTGAGGTGTATATATGGAACATGTTTCAAGCAAACACAGAAACTCAGTGTCCTTTAATCGAAACATGTTTCAAGCATCGATGTATATGTGTTACTCTCTGTCTATCTTACTGTGTGTCCGCGTCTGAGGCTGCAATACTATACCCATTACTCTTTTCCTCTGTTTTTTTCAGTTTGTTTTTTATTTGCATTTTTTTTAAAATAAATATTTTAATTTTGAACTTTATATGAATTTTTATAAACGAAAATAAGATTGATGATGAATTTACAATATTCTAAATATTTTATAAACAATAATTTAGTCAAAATAGATTTATTTTACTTGTAAGAATTTTTTAATATTTAATTAAATAACAATCTTGAAAACAGATAAAAGGAAATTACTTAGTAATTACTAAGCTTAAGGATAACTGATAGTTTTGATGACAAAGGTTGTAATAGGCTGAAGCTACATAAATAAACAAATATACACCATCTTCCGTTGGCAATTGAATGCTCTTTTCATTTTGTTATATTTAAATAGGTAACAAAACATATACGCATAGCTCAAAGAAACTTCGGTTGAATAGTTCTTCCAAGAAAAAGTAATAGATAATTTAATATAATGCGACGGAAAGGGGGAAAGATATGCATACCTTACAAAAGAGTTTACTAAGAAGACTTACAAATACAAATTATAATCCTCCCAACATTTTTTTTCTCATATATATATATATATATATTATAAGTTAACATTTGTTAATACTAGTGTTAAACTTAGATACTTATGCATGTAGTTAATTTTTTTATAAAATAAAATTAAATAATTTAATTATTAAATCATTTTATATATATTATCTTTATCATTATTACATAATTTGGATATACATAGATATATTATCTAAAATTTGATATTTACTTATAGTTTAAAAATATAATATTTATTAAAATAAAATAATGTAATAAAATATCTTTAATTTTTTTAATAAAATTTTATAGTTTAACTTTTTTTATAAGAAGCTTCAAAGTAACGATTAAATCAATTAATTTCACACAAGTTATTAAATAATCTAAATTTGACCAATGTAAACAAATCCTTATTCTCTCTCTCATGACTCTCACGCATATGTATAAATAGATTTATTAACATACACTTATTTATTTATTTAGAAGGGATATGTTAACATTTTATACTTTTAATTTTTAAAAATATATTTAAAATTGCAACTTTCCAAAATAAAAATTTCTTATTACCATAAAATATGAATAAAAAGGTTACATTAAATAAAAATAAAGAAGTTAAATAACATATATAAGTAATAACAATATATAATCTAATAATTTTAAGGTTTTGGATCGTATGTAATATTCAAATCCACTTGTATAATTCTTGGTAATTTATTAATAAGAGATTCAAATATTAAATTCCTGAATAAAATTATTATAAATATAAATGAGAGATAATCAAACAATTTTTTGAATATAAGAGATTCAGCTTTCAAAATATGACGATCAATATAGTTTTAGTTTTTTAAAATTTTATTTTGTTGATTTTAATTTTTATAATTTTTAAAAATAATTTTTATCACTCACGTAGCTAATCATGTTACAATACAAATTGCTTAAAAATTGTATTGCCGTAATATAATTATACATGTTACATTATTGATAATTTGATAACAGATATTCATTTAAAAGGATTTAAAAGTTACAAAGATAAAACATATGTATAATTTTTATGAATAAAAATAAAATAAAACCATAATTTAAAAGCATATGTATACCACAAATTGTTTAACACGTACACACACAGATCTATTGGTCTTTCTCCTCAAAACATTCAATTAACACATAATATTGTAAGTGATCGACAAGTGAAAAGATCCAACTTGTAAGTAAGTAATAAAAATAATTTTTGAGGTCAAATTTATGAAAAAAAAATATTTAATGAGAGTTTATTAAAAAAAAAATTAAACTATATAGCCCAATGCATCTTGTGTCCATTAATTTTTTTAATAAAATGAAAGTAAAATGAAGAAAAAGACTTAAAAGTTATGACGTAAAAAATTTAAAATATAAAAGAATTGTGTTTGATCATTTCAGAATAATAACTAAGTGCATATCAATTTTTTTTATTAATCAACCAAAATGGATTTTAAAATATAAATCAATAGTAATTTATATGTGAGCGTGAACTTCAAAATACGCTGAACGGGTTTTATTTTATTTTTTTAAAATAATGAAGCAATTGATTTTGCAAACTACAAACGAAAAATCAACTATATAGAGCCCAACAGTCAAGTCAACCGTCAACGGACGAACCTAAATTGAGTTATATCTAATTCTTTAACACAATCTGTACGGGCATGAACTATATCGTCTCATTTCCAAGTAAACGCGTGGAAGCATAAAAGGCATATAGAAATAAAATAAAATAAAATCATACATGCTCTAACTATATCATGTATCTTGATTTTAAATTAACAAATTGCATATTTAGATTAAAAAGGGTGCATTTTTTTAGTAGGCCACATCCCCAAATTCTAATTATAAGTTGATAAATTTTATTAATACACTCTTTTAAATATAGTTTTTTTTTATTAAATACAATTTATTAAAAGTTTAAAAATTATTGTGTAAATTTTACTTCTAATTAAATTATTTTTATAATTTTGTAATAAAATTTAAACAATTAAATAATGAGTAAATTTGCAAAATAGTTCCTAAAATTATAAGGATCATACAATTGGAATCTCAAGATTTCAAAATCTCTTTATTGTAACTTTGTACGTTATTTTCCATCCTCCACCAGTTTAGCTCTTGATGTTGTTTACCTTAATTTTCAATAAGAAAAACTGTGTTAGTATGCTAAGTGACAAGTAGGATGATGGCATAAGGAAAAAAAATGTCATATTTTAATAGAAATCATATGATTTATGGACTAAAATGCAATAGAAAATATCCAAGCTTTTTCAATCAAACCACATTTAATGGATGTTGTTGATGATCGTCAATCATTTTGCTTGAGAGAAAAATTGGATCGTTAATGGTGTTGGTGAGGAGAACGAGAGATGCTTCTGGGTTCTATTTACTTGATGTTGCAATTCAGCGTTTGAACTAAATTGAAGATTGGAAAGACAATGCATGGACTAAGAAAGGAATTTGAAAATCTAGAAGATTAAATTGCATAACCTTTATAATGTCACATATTCACATACTTTATTCACTAAATATAACTCCAACAGTCATGTTTATCAGAAATAATTATTCCTTTTTTTTTAAAATATAAAAAACAAAGAACAACCTCTCTAATCCTTGTGGGCCTTTATTTTTCAGCCCGTGGGCTTTTCTCAAAGAGTACCCATGCTAGACTTGGATGTTCTCTTGAATATGAAGTTATTTCTCGACCAAAAACAAAAAAGGAAGTTATTTAGAGCTTGTTTGATTATATTTTTTAAAATTATTTTGTTTTTAAAAATAGAGTACTATACTCCATTTTTCTTCATATTCTTTAATCTATTTTTCTTTTATAATCACCTAATCTAGAAATAAATCATTTTTAAAATTTTTTTTTGCATATAATCTAAAGGAAATTAATTTTATATTTAAGTAATTCAAGAAACATCAAGTAAGAAAATGAAAAAGAGAGAAAGAAAAACCCTGTGAACAAGAATAAAACAGTACCATTTAAAGAATTGTAGAACCTCCAAGTTTGTAAATAAAATATATAATTTTTCATATTTCATATGCAAACTAATTAAACACAAACTCTTGTCATTTGGTTTATGAAAAAAAACCGTATATCATATCAACAAATATAACTTTTAATCAAAATGAGTGATTATTATTATTATTATTGCATGTTGTTACAGTACCTTTGAATATCAAGAAAATTTGTTTAGTTAATAAAGCGTTCTGTTAAATAATTTTTTAAAAATAGAATCAGAAATTTTTTGAAAAATACAAATATTCCACCATTAATTATGCTCAAGAGACCATCTTTTCAGGCGCATAAAAAGTCAGGTCTTTTTAGATTTGCGACAAATAGATAAAAGTTTGTGAAAAGGGTGACTCGAAAAATTACAGAAAATACTACTACCAAAAGGTCTAGGGGCAGCAACTTTTATAAATATAATGGTTATTATCTTTAAAAAAGTAATAGAATTAGTAGGGAAAGTTTTATTTTAAAATTTGAAAATTATTCTCCTATTTTTAAAAGAAATTATTCGTCAATTATTATAAAAGATAAAGTAAAAAAAGTAATTAAAGTACACAAATTTTTTCCATTATTGAAGAAGCAGAAAAAAAAAAGGAAAGAAACACAGAAAAAATCAATTTTAAAATCTTTCAATAAAATATTTGGAGGTATGAGTTTAGATAAGTCTTTATTTATGAAAAAATATTTATTTTAGTTCTTCAAATTATAAAGCTGATACTTTAGTCTTAAGACTTTTTGAAAATTTTTCCTTAATATTTTTTTAAAAACTCATTTTAAAATTATATATATATATATATTATTTTATTTACATCTTTATCACGTGAGAATCATAAAATTAAAAACATTTTAAGAATTCAATAATTTTTAGAATAGTAAAATGAAATTATTACATTTTAAAAAAAACTCCATTACTGAAACACAAAGGGAAGATCAATCCACAACAAGGAGAATGTAGCTACAACCATTGGGATAACGAGGAGACAAATATTGTGTACTAACAGAAAATCCAAGCACAAAAAAGAAAAAGAAGACACGAGTTGTAAGTTGATATTTTAAATTCTTTAGTTCTGTTCAAATCTAGCTACCACTAAAGTGTGAGCTGAGTTTGATGCCTTAATTATAGCCTACAAATCCAATTAGATGAAGTTGACAATGTCTTGTCACTAAGCAATAATGCACAATAATATTAATCTGATTTGTGTAATCATCAATTTGTCATAGGGTTTGCTACGATCGAATTGTTGAAATTTTGTTAAGGAGGCCCCAAATTCGTATTCATAGAAAATAAGCAAAAGTGTGATTCATGCTAGGGTAGGGTACAAGATGCCCAAAATGTAGACCTGCTGGACATAATCATAATAATAGTTTAATTAGTTCAAAATAGTTAGGTCAGGTTAGGTTTAACCATTGTTATATACATTGACCAATAAATCAAATTTTAAAATGAATACCCATTTTTTTAACATAATTAATATGTATATTTGGTACTGAAATTGAAAACAGAAAATTGGTGATTTCATGGGAATATTAAAAACGCGTTCCAGCAAGAAAGAATGGCACATAGTCAAATACCAAACAAAAATATTGATAATATTATTAAGGTTTTGAGAAAAAAGAGGTGGGAAAAAGAGAGAGAGAGCATTGAGATTTGAGCATTGCTTTGCTTATTAGTTATTTGGTTTTCAACTGCTACACGTCGATGCCGTAAGCAGTGCAGCAATAATAATATGTGGGAGCCCACACGCAACCCCTCTCACTCTCTCTTTCTCTTTCCCCGTGGACCGTACCGCACCAGATTTATGTCATGCAATCCATTCCCTTTCTATACAAACCATAAGGAACGCCCCTCACTCGTACCATTCGACAGCGTCTTTTGGTTCTTGTAAGCCTCTCTCTCTTTCTCTCTCTCTCTCTCTCTCTCCAAATTTATACTAATATGTTGATAATTATCGCTATTTTCTCTTGATTATTGCTTTTGACCTAACAATTTTTTGGAATCTTGGGTTTCTTAAGATTTGGGGCTGAATTCTCACATGGGTTTTCTTTCTTCGTGGGTTTTCATCAATGTTCATACTTCCTTATTTTCATGTTGTTTGGTTGCTGAGAAATTTGAAGAAAATATCAGAAACCCTGAACTCTTAATGTTATTTTATTATTATAACCTTTTTTTGCCTTGATTTTCAATTAGAGGATAAAAAGTTTACAGAAACCCAGAGTGCATGCCCATGTTTAGTTGACTATCTTGAATTATTTCTTGTTTATCTAAGGGAAAGTTGAGATTTTTAGAAATTTTCTTTTGTTGTGTCTTCAACTCTTGTAGTTCACTGTTTTGTTTGCATTTTGGTGTTCGGTGTGAAGAAATAATGATCTTATTTCTTAGATCCTCCTTGTGATGTTGTGATCTTAGCAGAAGTTATCTTTCTGACTATGTTTTGGGTCCATGTTGTGCTTTATCTTCAGTGAAGAAGGACCCTTCTCTTTGCGCGTGTCCCGTTCTCTTCTCCAATCCTCCACCTTCACAAAAACCTCTGTGTAATCTGATCTGAATATAGTGTATTCCTATACCCATAAGTACTATGGAGGTTAAGCTATGGAATGACAAGCGCGAGAGAGAAATGTATGACAACTTTGCTGAGCTTTACGCCATTATCAAGGCCACTGAGAGGCTTGAGAAAGCCTATGTTAGAGATATAATCTCGCCACAGGAATATGAGTTAGAGTGCCAGAAGCTTATAGCTCATTTCAAAACCTTAGCTTCCACCCTCAAAGACACGGTGCCTAGCATTGAGCGATTTGCTGACACTTATAAGATGGAGTGCCCAGCAGCGATTAATCGCCTCGTGGTATCGGGCGTGCCGGCTACCGTGGAGCACCGGGCAACTGCTGCTGCTTCTGCATCTACGTCAGCTGCCATTGTGGCTGAATGTGTGCAGAATTTTATTACTGCAATGGATTCCTTGAAACTTAACATGGTGGCTGTGGATCAGGTGCACCCATTGCTCTCGGACCTTTATGCATCGCTCAATAAATTGACAATTTTGCCACCTGATTTTGAGGGGAAAACCAAAATGAAGGAATGGATTGCAAGGTTATCAAAAATGGGTGCGGCTGATGAGTTGACAGAACAACAGGCGCGGCAGCTTCACTTTGATCTTGAGTCTTCTTACAATTCCTTTATGGCAGCCCTGCCCAATGCTGGTACATGATTGAGTGGCGAGTGCTTGTAAATTAAATCAGAATTTCCTTTTTTCCTTTGATTACTAATCTTGTTGATTGGAAAGGAATTTTCTGTTTGGTGACAGCTTATACATTTTTAATGCTGGATCCTGGATGTTTGCAAATTATGGCTTTGTGCTGATCATGGAAGCTTTATTTTATATTGTGGATGAGCTTTGAACTTTGCTTTTCTTTCCTGCAGTTGTTTGGTTTGAGCTTCTCTGTACTCTTAGCAAGGGTGAAATCTTACAGAAACTTGAGTTTACAGCTGTTTGTCTGTGTCTTTCTTTTATGTATAGATGAATTACAACCACCCTCCGAATCGACGACACAGAGGTGTTGAATATCCTTCAAATAATTGTCATATTAATAGGTTTTAGTGTGCAGGACCTATCACCTATGCATATCATTATTCATCAGAGCCTCTAAATTATAGTTATGCAATTATTATTGGTTTGATCTTTCTGCGAAAAAAGACTCCAAAGAAGCTCAAGAAGAATAGTTATAAATCTTTCTGCAATAACTTTCTATTAATCATAATTTTACTAGATGAAGAAAGTATTTTACTTTTTTTTTGTTTTCAAGGTATTAAATGTATTTACATTTTTTTTTTAAAATTTTATGTTGTAAAGAAGTAAGAAAATTAGTATGGAGATATTATAGAAAAATATATTATTACTTGCGCAAGATTACTGAAAATCCCTGGGCATCATATTCTAAATTTGTCTACTCCAGACATGAGTATTTCCGTTATCCTGCATATCAAACCAATCAATACAAGGCATTTTGGTAGTATGGGTTTACCAACTATTCAACATCTGAATGGCCTCTGCATCCAAATGTGTATTTGGGAAATTTATGTCCGGCCCTCCATACCTTTGCTTTGATTATCTTAATTGATTCACAAGCATAGCATAGTAATTAAGTTTTTTGACATGTCATTATCTCATTGTTGAATTGCTAATGGAGGTAATATTAGTAACAGGTTGTCATAACAATATGTTATGGCTGATACCGGTACAAATGAATCTCAAGTGGTTGGTGGGGCTGTCTATTAATGGTACTCTGCCATAAACCAGTCATTCAAAATATTTTACCATGAGACCTGGTAAATTGATGAAATATAAAGTGGTGCGTTTCATATCAAGTTCTGAATTTCTGATTGTTCAAAAGATTCAAGAAAAACGTGGGATTGTTTGTACATGATATTATAATCAAAGGAGAACGACAATTACCTAGAACTAGTTTGCTAGAGAAGTCAAAGTGAGTTGGTATGCCTTTTAATTCACGGCTAAATTATAGTTACCATTATGATATTGGATTCAAAATTACTTTGTTTACCTGTGGCATAAACATAGTCACTAGTTTAATCCGTTACATCATAACAATTATATTTTTCATGCATTTTTAACAATAGCCAGAAATTACTATATATATATATATATATATATATATATTTTTTTTTTTTTTTCCTTTGATGCTATAATCTGGTGTTGGTGCTTTTGACAAGCATTTTTCATCGTTTTTAGGCAATTACGTGCTTACGTAATAGTAACTAAATGGTGAATGATTGCGTTTATCATTTTAAAGACACTAACGTTAAGGACCAGAAGTGAGGAACCATTTTGCAAGAAAGTTATTTAGGATACTATGATCGTCAATTAACTAAGCTAATCAAAACAAAGGTATGGCCATGAATGTGTGATGACAGAAAGCAAATATTACTAAACAGCGAGGCTTGGTGTCCTAGATCTATGGCACATAGAAAGAATGGCTTCAACAAGTAGAAATACCGTCATTCCATATGGTATTTATGTATGAGAAGTCTTACAAGCATTTACCGAACCTTCAGTGTGCCTAGCATAGAAGCTTAAATGACATGAGGGGTAGGCGCAAAATGAAGGTCAAGTTCCTTTAATAAGAATATTGAGTTCACATCCCTTTTTTTCTTCTTCTCTGTTTGGATGATTTCATATTTAGTAAATTTCATTTTAGGTCTTGAAATTGTAAGCATTGATAATTTTTAATTTTTTTTTACTTTAATTAGTCTCTAGCTCTTCAAAATTTTATTCATTTAATTTTATTTTAATTTTGTAAAAAATGCAATGGAAAATAAAATTGAAAAGAACTAAAATAGATAGTATTTTTTTTTTGTAAAATTAAAGGTTAAAATACTAATTTTCTATAATAAAAAACTTAAAATAATAAACATTTACAATATTAAAACACTACAATATAATTTACTCAATTCGGATCCAAATCTTTTGCAGTTAAAATTCATACAAATATTCCTATAGTCAATATCTAATACTCAACCTTTTTTTTATATATATTTTATTAATTTTGTTAAATTTTAAGAATAAAATAAAAGATAGAGATTTATTTTCTTTTCTCATTCGTGTAGAGATCGACGTTCAATCTCACAACGGTCTCTAGTTAAGCAACTTTTGTCGTTAAGCACGGGTGTCAACGAGAGTTCCATTGTTGGAGAAAAAGTACATTCGTATAAGAGCTGACATTGCCGGCTGTAGAAATGGTTTCATATTCAAGCAGGACAATTTATAAGTGACAGAGATTTTCTTTTCCTAGTATTTAACACACTTGAGTACTCGGAACTAGAATTCAAGATTACTATTTCAACCGGAACAACCCGTGATATACTGTGCTTGGTGGTTACCAAGACTCTATTATCAATGAATATATTTTGCATAGTATTTATTGATTTATTCATAAAAACTTGAACCTTTTTTATAATTCTTGTTTAAATTATCAACTTTTATTACTGATTGTATTCTTTTCGATACAATATACTACTCATCCACCAGTAAATGAGTGGTGTAATTTATCTTAAAACAGCCAATGCTTGAACACCACGTTCCCGTTCTTCAACCATTAATAATAGAAGAAAAAGGAGAGATCTGATTCAAATGTGTATCCGCTCTGAAAATGTATGAACCTGCTATTAGATTACAACATTATCACGTCACTGTCCCCCGTTGTGCTCTTCCTAATCTATATATGGGAATCCAACACAAAAATATATCAGAACAACTTGGTTCTGTTCTATGGAAGCTATGGTTCATGAAGGTGACATGGTTGAAGAACATCACATAATGCATGCATCATGAAACAAGAACGCACGTATCTATCTGCATTTATATGATTGTCAAAAACATGAAAATGCTCATTTGAGAATTCAAAATCTGAAGTCTTTTTCTTCACTGTCCCACTTTGTTCAGCTTAATAAATGAGGCAAAAGCGAAGTAAAGAGAGGAAACAGTAACACAATAACGAGTATAATACCAAGAAGAATGGCATAGCACGTCCACTTCCTAGAACTCTTTTGATACTCTCTAGCCTCTTGAAGTTGATCCGTGCCTCTTCTAACAAAAGAACTTGCATGCGCCACGTGGCTCTCTATGTTATTCAATTGTTGCCCTTGAGACTCTACCAAAGCAGCCATGTCCAGAAACACCTGATGCAACTCTATCAAGTTCTTCTCTATTTCCTTAACAGCATCATGCCTCTCCTGAATCTCCGAAATTGTGTCCATTATTTGACCCCTACCTTGTTCCTGAATTGCCCTTTGTAAGAAACTCTCACTCTCTCCACTTGATATCAAATTCTCTATTGTCTCTTCATCTGCTTTCTCTCCTGTTATAGTGAAGTACCTTCGTTCCACTGTTTCCTTATACTCCATCTGCATTCTTGCTCTCAACCCTTGAAAATCATCCATCATGTCCTTCAGTTTCTTCCCTAAGCCACTAACCACTGAGGTTCGTGTTCTGTCTGCTGAAGAACCTGGACCACACCCTGGAACATTTCTGTTTGCTGCATTGGAACGTTCCAAGGCTTCGAGCTTTCCCTTAATCACTTTGACGCGTTTGAGGACTTGTTCAACGTCTTTGTCCATTCGGGCTCGAAGATCCTTCATTGTTTTAGCATTGTGTACTATTTTGCTCTCTTCGTTTGCCTCTTGCAATTTTCTGTAGAGCTTCTCAACGGTTCTCATGTCTTCTTTTACGTTCTCTACATCTTCAAAGAATTTATCCAGATTCACACTTTCCTTCCCGGCCTCCATGTCATCAAGGTTCGCTTGTTGCTGCGGGTCACCGTATTGTCTGAAGGAGTTTGAGAATAGGTCGTTCATTTTTGCTGATTTAATGAACAATCACTAATACCTTTCTCTCTCTCGCTCTCTCTTTTTATATATATATTTTTGCTTTGTTATGATTGTTCTCTTGTGTGCTAATTGGTAAATCTAGTAATAGAAAGGTTGTAACAAACCATATAGATAATTTTTATCTAACAACATAGTGGTGTATGTTCCTTCCTGTGACAAAAAATGTTGAGGTGCTTGTGCCCTCATCCTCCACGGGATTATGATCAATTGATTAACGGGGAGGAAAGTAGAAGGTGACAAAAACAACTTGTTAATTTGTTGATTTGTCACCAACGAAAGGTTCCGAGGAGAAAAGTCCTTTTTCTTCTTGGGGTGGTACTCCTGGTGGATGTAATAGAGGCCTACAGTGACTCCGAAACAAGGACCAGCCAATTGACTCTAATCAAACAAGGGTGTTTAAAACTTGGATGCACCAAAGATTACTCCTTTGTTTACAAATGTCAATGCTGTTTTCAAAATGTAATCTTAAGTTGGTTTATGACTTGGTCATCTTTTTTTCTGTCCTTCAACACTTGTGCTATTTTATTTTTAGGAGCTGAAATTGTAGTCTATTTAAATACAAGTTCCCTTCTCATACTATATATATATATCCAAGTTAATTAGATGGTCTGTCTCCTAACAAAGCATTTTAGCTATAATGACGGCTAAAATGGATAGCTTTCCATTGTTGAGTCATTCTATTTTTAAAAATGGAAAAACAACGGCGGCTGTGTTCAATTTTAATTCATAATATTGGATGATTATATTAATATAACAAGAATCTTGCTGACCAATGTTAGTTAAAACAATTCATGATAAATACTATTTTTAAATTTTTTAACAAAAAATCTATTTTTGATTCCTTAATTAGTGATTTATTAATTATAATTTTTAAATAGTAAAATTTAGTATTGTATAAGTGAGGCAAAATATTTTTTCAGGATGAATAACTGCTTCACAAAATATGACTGCAAATACGAAATACGTTAAGCACAACGTAGTTCATTTTAACATCACGCAGTTCATACTCTCTAATATTACTTGTGGGGAGAGCATGTATATGCTTTTAATTAATTTGGATCTTCATGTTATGTTAATCAATAATTAGTCTTCCTGGTAGATTCTATTTCTCAACTGCCCCGTATTTGGGCACATACTCTTATAGTACATGTTTAACTCTCTATAAAATTCTTGACATATATTAGAAGACTCATATGAACAGTTTTATTTAATAAATATCATATAACGCGAACGCAATCTCAATGAGCTTGTTCTTATAATGAGGCCAAAATATGCTCAGAAATTAAACCACTCATGCGGGGTTCGCTAACACAAACAGTAGTGCATAGTCTTATGCAATCTATGATTTTGAACTGTAAATCTCAAGTCTCACCCATTCTCATGTTATATATATAAACTCAATGAGTAGAGAAAGCCACCAAATGTGCACTTTAATTAGTGAAATAGGGTTGAGAGTCGAGAGGATTGAAGAGATCTCGAGAAGAGAAAAGGAAAAAATGAATTTTGTAAACTCTAAATTCTTTAAATCTTTTCTGGTCACAATCCTCTCTCACTACAACAAAAATATCAGAAAAAATTACACTTTAATTTCTGCAAAATCTCGCTATAACGAGACTCTTTCGCTACAACGAGACTACTCCCAAAATTGCACTCCTTTCTCGCTGCAGCGAGGGACCTCTCGCTATAGCAAGATCGCAACAAACTCACTTTTTTTTCTCAGGACCTTCTTGCTACAGCGAGAATCCTCTCGGTACAACGAGAACATTCTAATATTACACACTTAGCCAAATTTTCAATCTAACCAAACCAGCCACAGTCAAACATTCTCAACATATACACTTTGTACTCACATATTTACCTATATGCATTCATACACATTCATACACATGTATTCTATCATCCAATACACCTCATCACCACATAATTTAAACACACATATGTTCACATTATTATGCTCATCAATCATCATTCAAGGGAATTTCATAATTATGTTATTAATATATATACATATAAATACCTATTCAAAATTTGAGGTGTTACACCTAACTCCTCCCTTCCCCTTTAAATTAATTAACTTCCAAATAACAATTAAATTTCTTTAACTCCTTTCTTCTCCTCCTAAACTCCACTCTCAAATAAACTCTAAGAATATAATATATTATATTTATAGATAATTTCATCAATATAGAATGTTCATATATTATTAATATATAAATATAATTAGTATATTATATTATTTGTTAGTAAATATTTTTATATTCTTTGTTATTAGTTTATTTTTTATTAGATAAATATTATGCAAATAAAATTATCTTGGCTTAATAACTTTTTTATTTGTTAAAAAATAACAAATTATTTGTATAGCGACATATTTTAACCAATGTTAAAATGAAAATTGCAAAGAGTAGATAACAGAGGTAGCATGTATTGAAGAGCCTTTAGCTAGAAACTTAAATTTACATCTTAAAGTGATGTGTATTTTCTTTAGAAAGAAATAGGAAGATAAGAAAGAAAAAATTGTAAAGTAATAAATGGACGGATTCTAATGTCGCCTTTAACTTTGATAAAGAAGAAAAAAATATTTTTTAGAATTTGTATGTAATATAGACTGTTGATCGAGAAATTTTTTAATTGGATGGTTAAAAATATAATAAAAAAATTGATGATAAATGTTAAATTTATTAAAAGATATATTGATAATCTGATATATATATATATATATATATATATATATATATTATATCTTGTAGTTATAAATTATGATTTACATCATAAAGAATTTATAAATGATAAAACCTTTTCTACAAATATAAAATACAAAAAATTAAAAAGCAATGAAATTTTAGAATTTTTTTTTATCTAAACCTCTTACAATTAAATAGATCTTGAAAATTATATAAAATATACATATAATTTTTATAAATTAGAATCTTGTGTTAAAAATTACATCTTTTAAAAGTTTATGATATTAAGGATGAGAAATTTCAAAATTTTTTGCATCTTTCTATAATATTTATAACATTTTTTAAAATTAATGTAGAAAGTTGATTGCATTAAACAATTGATGTAGAAAGTAGTGATATAAAAAATACTACTTTTTACGTTGATTCTAAAAAATAATAGATGTAGACTCAAGTTTTTGTTACACAATTGTTGAACACCGCATATTTTTTATTTATAGACTTAAGAAAGATTAAATCTTGAGTGAATATTAATGAATGTTGATGACAAACACTTCATATATTTTTATTTATAGATTCAATAGAAATTAATTTTTGAATAAATACTAACATTGACAACATACATTGACATCATTGGAAGAGTCACTATGTCAGAAAAGAGATTTGAGAGCGATTTCATTTTATCATAAAGAGCATTTAAACTACTTTAAAATTCTATAATATACAATGTATTATATGTAAAAAAGTGGTTAAATAAACACTCTCAAATATTGATATTGGAGAGCAGTTTCACGTGGAATTACTCTCACAAAGTGGATGTTATTTAGAGAGCAATTTATATAACCACTCTCCAAGGTATGAGTATGAACTACGAATTTGAAATTTAAAATTTTTTTCTTTGTGAATTTTTTATTACAAACTAAAATTAATTTATTGTTATGATTAAATTTTAATTTACATGTATGACATTTGAAATTCCTTCATTTTTATTACAAGTTAAAATTGAAACATGAGTTTGTATGTTGTGTTAACTAAACACAACACATCTGCATGAACCAAACACTAGTAAGTAGAAAGAAAAAAAATAAATTAGTAGGATGATTTACTGGTAATAAAGAGAAAAAGAAAAAAAAATAGAATAGAGAAAAATGTAAGAAAGATACTTACAAATGTGAAAAAGACTAATTTTTTTAGCAATTGTTAGTGCAGAGAAGATAAAGAGAACCTCATGTGAAAGAGACCAAAAAGAGCAACTTTATAGTATATAGAAAATGAAGAGAACTTATGGAGGTAAAAGAGACAAACTCTTTGGCAAAACGAAGAAATTCATGAGTTCAACATGTTTCATTTGTAAAAATTAAAGACTTTGAAGAGCGGTTCTCTATTAATCGTTTTCTAAAAGTGACTTTGAAGAGTTATTTTTTTGTTAACGACACTCTAATAATAACTTTAGAGAACAGTTAAGACATAAACATTCTTTGAATTATGTGATTTTAGAAAACGGTTCTTATAGAACAACTTTCAGAAGTATACATTAGAGAGTGGTTCAACATTAACTAACGACTCTCTAAGTGTATTATTATAAAACAGTTTTTACTAACTGCTATATAAGTTAACACTTTAAAAATTTGTTTTGGCACAGTGAGTTACCAGAGTAAAGATCTATAGATTGTAATGGGAGCTCATAGTTGTAGTTACTAATAAACGAAGAGTGTTAATGTCAATCAGTAAGAGCATTTCAAAGTATTTATCAATTTACCATTAATTATTTACAAAATTACTCAAAAAAATTTACCTAAAAATAATTAAATTCTAATAATTTATTTACCATAAAGTCAGATTAGCCGTTCTTAATAATTTACATTTTACTAATCTAAAAATACAATTTTCTTAATTTCTTTACTTATCAAAATTAAAGGAAGGACGTTACAATTCGCTTAATAAATGAAATTAAACTAATAAAAAGAGAGTTAGAGAAAAATGTAAAATCATATGAAAAAAAAAAATCATATGTAAGCTTTGGGTTGAAGTTTCGTCTTGTTTCCTCACTTTTATCCTGTAATGCCAATTTAATTCTAACTAATTTAGACACACTACAAATAATGGAAGGAAAAATAGAAGTCAAGTTTGTCTCAAGTTATTCAAAATCCATGCTTGGTACTTAAATTTCTCTTATACCTTTCGTGCGTATTTAATGTAGAGTTAGTCTCTTACATAAGAATAACCAAAGCAAAAGCAAAGGATACCTTTGTCAAAAGAATAAGATAAAGTGAAGAAGACTTGGAC